AAAAAAAAAAAAAAAAAAAGAATATAGGAAAGGAAGAAAGAGGAAGAGGGAGAGAGAACAGGGGTGTTGCTTTATTGCCCGGGCTAGAATGCAGTCTAAAACTGGGTATGCCTGTAATTGTGTTTAATAATAGAGACATAAAAAAAAAATGAGGGAAGAAAATAATTAACAAGCAGCCAACCAATATTTCATTTAAACCTGTAAATACGTGTGATGTAGTACTGATAAGAGTGTATATTTTGTGTATTTAAAGTGGAGAGTTCTATGAATGTTAATTAAGTCTACTTGTTCCAAATCTGAGTTCAAGTCCTGGATATCGATGTTAACATTCTGTCTCATTGATCTATCTAATTTTTTGTATTTTTTTTTTTTTTTTTGAGACGGAGTTTCACTCATGTTACCCAGGCTGGAGTGCAATGGCACGATCTCGGCTCACCGCAACCTCCGCCTCCTGGGTTCAGGCAATTCTCCTGCCTCAGCCTCCTGAGTAGCTGGGATTACAGGCACGCACCACCATGCCCAGCTAATTTTTTGTAGTTTTAGTAGAGACGGGGTTTCACCATGTTGACCAGGACGGTCTCGATCTCTTGACCTCGGGATCCACCCACCTCGGCCTCCCAAAGTGCTGGGATTACAGGCTTGAGCCACCGCGCCCGGCTGTTTTGAGTCTTTATGTATCCTTGCATGTGAGATGGATCTGGATGTAGCATACCAATGGGTCTTGGCTTTTTTTGCCTGTCTGTGTCTTTGGATTGGGGGATTTAGTCGATTTAAATTAATAACAATATATGTGTGTTTGATACTGTCATTTAATGTTAGCTGGCTGTTTTGCCCATTAGTTGATGTCTTTATTTTTTGGTATTTTTTAGAAAGGCTGATACTGGTTGTTCCTTTCTATTTGTAGTGGTTCTTTCAGAAGCTCTTGTAAAGCAGGCCTGGTGGTGATGAAATCTCTGAGTGCTTGCTTGTTCACAAAAGATTTTATTTTTCCTTCGCTTATGAAGCTTAGTTTGGCTGATGTAAAATTTTACATCCATAAAGCAGTTTTTTCTAATTCTGTGAAGAAAGTCAATGGTACCTTGATGGGAATAGCATTGAATCTATAAATTACTTTGGGCAGTATGGCCATTTTCATGG